AATAGTGGGAAAGTAAACAAAGGCAGCAAAACCAATAAGTGTCCAAAGATGTGTCACATTTTCAGAGATAAAGGGGAAAGAATGGAGTTATCATAATCTATTGTGAATAACCATAATTGCAAAAGAAAAATGGGATTTCAAGTTGAACTGTTGTGCCTTTCTGGCATGTTTTGAAGCCCTGGGTGTTAACTCGGGGTGATTTTGTTTCTCAGGTGGTATTTGGTAATGTCTGGAGAGATTTCTACTTGTCTCAGCTTGGAAGACAGGGAGGGACTATGGTATCTGTTACTCTGACAGAGTCACGGTTGCTGCTAAACATTGTGCAAGGGAGCCCCTTCCCCTACAATGAAGAACCATCAAATTCAAAACACCCATAAGAATAAGACTGAGAAAAATATCTAAAATATTGCTAAACAGCGGTGGGCACTTAGTGCAGTGGTTAAGCCACCCTGTAGGACCTCTGTGTGCCATTATCGAATGCATGGGTTCAGGTTCCAACTGCTCTCTCCACTCCAGGTTCCTGCTGATGTGCACCTGGGAGGCAGCAAGTGACAGTGATGTAGGCAGGCATATAGGATAAAATTGATTAAGTTTATGAGCTGGAAGACCATGCCTTCACCATGCCCGTGTGTGATCTCATGCCCTTACCTGACCACACCTGTATGCCCACCTGCCAATCATGCTGCATAGCCATTCCCCTCTGGAAGTGGATAAAAGGCCTGAAACACGATGGGCCTGGCCTCTCTTTTTTCCCTTCCTGCCCTTGGATCCCCTTGCTGCCCTGTGCCTTCGAGCCACTACTCCATGCTTTCCGGCCTGCATGCTCCTCCACATGGCTAGCTCCTGACCTGCTCTCTGCTCAGTATGAGTCCAGATTTCTCTCTTTTAGATAGGGCCCTCACTCTCCTATGCATTTCTCTCACTGAATAAAAAGCTTAAAAACTCGCCATGTTGCCTGGTTTATTTGAGCCAGAATTCAGAATTCTTCTCTGAGTTTATGGCAAGAACCCACACAGCTTATTAATTTCAGAAATATTAATAAGCAAATTGGTATCAATATCTCAAGTACTTGAGTCCGTGCCACCTGTGTGGAAGACCAAGATTGAGTTCTTGGCTCCTGACTTTGGCCTGGCCCTGGCCTGGCCCTGTCTGTTGAAAGCATCTGGAGAAGGAGACATCAGATGGGAGCTCGCTCTCTCTTTTTGTGTTTCTTGGACTCTGACTTTCAAATAAAAAAAAATTTCTTAATTTAAAAACATACTTCTAAACATTCTGACTGGTTATTTCAAATCCTATTGCGTGAGCATCGCAAGTCCATCAGATTGTCTGTCTCTCCAGAAAAACTGATTAATGTAAATGTCCCCAAGATGAGGAAGAGTTTTGCCATTGCCTTGTGCCATGCAATGATGAGAATTATTTAAGCCATTATTTACTGACTGTCACTCTATCTTGAGGAAAATTTGATCATTAATGGCCAAGCCCATTCTTAGGGTAGTGAAGTTTCAAGGGGAACAAACAAGAAGTTCTACTGACAATAATTAAACCAACATATTATTTAAGGCTTCTTAGATCCAAGGAGAAGGTACAGATGATGACAAGTGTGGGAGGAAGATCTACAGTGTAATAGTGTAGCATACACAGGAGAATATGTTTTTTTTTAAATTCTATTTTGAGCACAAAATAAGGTTGTTTAGAAATAACTAAATATTTAATTTTTTCCATTTTGTCAAACAAATGTTCTCAGATTATTGAAAGTATCTATAGTACCAATTATCTGTGAGAGTGAGATACATCCTTTGTTTTGACCTCTCTCTTTGAATGTGTTCTGACAAGGATTTTTCTAGCACTTTTGGGGAAGCTTTTCAAACTGCAACATTCCTAGTTGAAATTTACATTGGCTACCACTCCTTCCTTGTGGTATGGTAGCAACTTTTACATTTCATACTTTAACAGCACTTTCACATTCCCAAGAAAAGTCCTTCCCAGATATTCCTTTTGTTGATATTATTGTGTGTTTACACAACGGACTCCATCTATTATTGAAGTATTTGGAGCCAAGAGGGGTAGTCCAAGGGAGGAAAATTAGATGTAGTATTAAGACGCTGCTTGGGAAAGCCATGTTCCATATCATACTGCCTGGGTTCAAGTTCAGATTCCATTCCCCAGGCCAGCTTCCTGCTAACACAAATCCTGGAAGACAGCTGGTGATGACTCAAGAATATGGGTCCCTCTTCACCCATGCAGAAGACTCCAGACTTAGTTCTCAGTTCCCAGCTTTGGCCTGGCCCAGCCCTGGCTGTTGCAGGACTACTGGGGAATGGACCACTACCTGGAATATATCTCTGTGTCTGTGTCTTTCTCTCCACTGTCTCTTTGCCTTTCAGATACTGTAAATTAACATTTAAAAGAAAATAAAATGGCAACTTGCTACATTCAGAAATATCATTGAATTATTAAAGATCTATGGAGTTAGCTAAGTAAAATAATCAACTCTTAACATCAGTTTTGATTTTATGGCAATTGTCCCTAAACTGTAGTATTTTAGAGGCAGGGGAAATGTAACAATTGGCAGAAAAATCATTTGAGGACCACACTTCATTATGAAGGACCTTCAGTTGAATTGCCCTCAGTTGAATATAGTGTCACAAAAGTTAAAATCTATTAAAAACTATGAGCTTGAAATTATTTACAAAAGATTTAATTTACTTGGCTTATGTGCCTGACTAGAAAGTCCTCATCCAGGTGGTATATACAGGGATGCATTATTTTTTATATCTAGATTCCATTCTAACAGAAGGCAAATTAATTGTTCAGCTACTTATAAAATGACAAATTGTTCACCAGAAAGCTATAGTGACAAATCCAAATGACTATGTTCATATTGTTATTGAACTTTCAGCTGACATTGACTGGCCCTAACACTTTAAAAGGAGAGACAAAGTTAATAATGATCATGTCTGCCCTCAGAGACCTCCACTCATGGGCTCTGGTAGGCGACAACTCTGTAGGGCTATAGTTGCCCCTCCATTTCCCCTATCCTACCCATCACCCTTTTATTCCAACCTTAAAAAGTTGCACCTGTTTTCTGGGACAATTTAATGTCCTGCCTGCCTGGAATCCATTTCCTGATCAGTATAATCAAGAATACCATGGCAAGCCCTTCTCTGTGCCACTCATTCTCTTCACTGACCTTTAAAGAATAATCATGAACTTGATATTCATTGGGGTAGGGAGGCTCAGACTAATCAGTTTATTCTTTTGCTTAACAAGAATGTACAGAAAGTCTACTCTTGGCAGGACATTTAACATTCACTTACAAAGACTTTGGTTAGAGCCTTTTATTACTGTCTGAAAGGAACACTCAGTAGTTTCAATTCAAGAATTTATGGGAGGAATCAGTTATTTGGTCAAGCATGTATGAGCCTCTGAAACATCCCTAGACTAGAGTATAAAACCTAATAAATGAGTCTAACACTTGGGATATTTTCACATATTCTCTTTACAGAAGTAGAAAGTAATCTAAAAGGAATTAGAAAAAGCAAGCACAAATTTCCTTGAAGAAACCATTTTTCCTTTTCCTTTTATTTTTTATTATTTAAATTTGGTCTTGACTGAGGAAGGTGAATTTTCAACTTCAGTGTTATATCAAGAGTTAATTTCATTTTCTGCAGTAAGAGGACATGAAAAATATGTAGGTAGCAAAGATTGTGCCTGCGAACCACACCTTTTTCAACTGGTGGAAAAGCAGCAGTGCAGAGCAGCTCAGTAAATGCTAATCCACTTTCCTTCCTCTCATTCATCCTCTGGCAGAAATGCACCAAAGATATGAAGGAATAAAAAAAAAATGGCAGATAAAAAGTACAGTAGTGGAAGGTAAAAGGAGGCCAGCTGATCTGTGGGCTGCATTAACCATGCCCAGGTCCTGAGAAGCCAGCAGTGGTAATAAGTGGACACCTATCAAAGGGGCCATGAGTGACAGAGGGAAAGAATTTTCTAAAAAAGTGCAATAGAGAGAGAGAGTGGCTGGGCTCATGGGATTGGTCCTCAAATGGGATCGTTCTTAATAACTAAGTAGTTGTTAGTTACTAGGGAGTGGGCACTAAAATGTCAGGCAAGTGATTCCAGACTGAGAGGGAAAGCTAGCCCTGCTATCAAACTGCAAATCCCACATCCTAACCTCCAGCATTGTCTCCCCTCCTTGCTTATCTCCTTTCATAACTCTGCTCCTTTGCTGTCAAACCCTGCATTTTCAGCTGTATACACATTCAGCTGTGTCTCTTTCTTTTCCTTATGCTGACATTAGCTGTTTCTCTCCCAGTCCTGAGTTTTATTTAAATTTTCTATTTCATAAAATATGAGCAAAGTAAAAACTGATCCACCTATGGGTTGTGTGGAGAGAGAAGACTGCAAGTCAATGAGCCAGAAATATTTCAAAATAAAATACTTTTACCGGCTATACTTTAATATACTATCCAGAAACTCAGAATGTATCATAAAATTAGAAGAACACAAAATACATCAAGTACATGTTCAGAAATCAAAATGCTTTGGTGGACTTCACAGATGATATGATAAAGTTGTTCTGAGCCTTTTTCCACTCAAAAACCCCTTGGAAGACCTCAGAAAAGACAGAGAAATTCTATTTTGAAGAATATACATTCCTGACAACAATGTACATACAATTTTCAAAATTTGGTGGAGGCCATGAAACCCATCCAGTGATCTCATAATACAGGTTCCTGGACTCCTCCAGAACCTAGCCTCCAAGTCAAGGTCAAGGTGAGAGCAAGCCTGTAGAGTAACCAGGCCTCCAGATTTCCAATTCAATTTTTCATTTGTTTTCAACAAGCCAGGGTGCTGTGATTTGTTATGGCAGCCCTAGGAAATGAATACAGTGGTTTACTGCTATTTGTCTATATTTTTATTAATATTGTCTTTAAGATCCTTCACATACTGTTCCCATCAGTGACTCATCTAGTCTCTTTCCATTTCCTTTTCAGACTAGTTGACCTGAGTATTCAGACTGGACATCAACAATGCCATTCCTTGTCCTTATAATTTTTCTTCAATAGTAGTGGGGAACTATCTTGAGAAAAAAAATCTCTAACCTACATTTTTATAACATTGTTTGTGTTGTTTATAAAAAACGGACCATGTTTCCCATGCTGAAGTAGCTGTCATTGATCTTACAAGAGGGTGATTTAAAAATCCAACAAGAACTTAAAGGAAGTTTCATTTAAAGTATCTAGTAAAATGAGAGTTTGTTCTATGCAAACAATGAAGAAACTTTGGAAGATAATGCTGTTGACTTCCCAGACTCTGAAGTATACTTCCACACAGGAAGATAACTCAGTTTTACAAAGGATGGGCTGACTGAAAATAACTTTCCACAGAGACCTCTTAGCGATCTCATAAGATTTGTGAACCAACTCAAGTCAAACCTTTTCAAATCCCAATCCCACTTAGAGAGCTCATTTTTAAGCCATTAGTTGGTGCTTGAATGCCTAGACCCCTAGATCAGTCCATGCATGGAGTTACTGTTTTTATGCTGCTCTCAAAGTATTTTCAGAAACCTAGCTATGCTTAGTTATGAGTAGCTCACTGTTGGAGCTACTCAGAACACATTGCCCTTGACAAGTTTTGTGCTTAAGGTTGTGGGCTGCTTTGGCCTTGTGAAATGTCCAGTGCCAGGTCACTGTGAGAGGCAGTCTGGATGTGTGGTCTGAAATGGTACTTCCAGTTCTGCTTATTTTCATTTGCAAGAACTCTTTGGATATACATACCCTTGAGTTTGTTAGGAAGGGCTACTCCTTACACTTCTAGGTATCATGCCCTTAGGTTTTGCATTGAACTAGCTTCTATTTCCTTCTGGAAATAATCATCCTCAGTTCTTGTTTCCTTATTAGCTAAATGGGAAAAAAGAACACACCTATGAATTGTGAGAATGGACAGAGCTAATATATCCATTGGATTTTTTAAATAAGTCTCTTACAAATTGATGTGGGGAAAAAAAAACAAAAACACCAAACTTGGCCCTTTGACAGAGCAACCCATCTCCTTAAAGGGGTTCTGATGGGTTTCAGGAAGAAGCTATAAACAGAGCTGGCGTTGTTAGTGTTTGAGGATAAATATGGACTTGAGAAAATAAGACAGGAATCTGTGGAGCTGAATTGCTTAGTCATATAGGAAACATTGTAAGGAAATGCAGTGTGACCCAAAATAGTTTCACACATATATTGCCAGCTGGAAACATGAACAAGGTAGTAAAACTAGGAGAATAGAGAAAATGGCTTCTGCGAAAATATAAGGAAGAGAACAAATCTAAGATAGAAAAATGAAAGGAAAAAAAGGCTGTGAAAGGAATGATAGATTAGCAGACCAAGAAGCCAGAAATGTTGGAAATCGGGCAGAGTTTTGAATGTATGGTTATGACAAATACACTCTAAGATGGATGTGTGTCACAGGCTGGGGAAAAGAGAAGGTAAAAAAATGGGATTTCTTTAAGGCCGAGCTTGGTTTAAATCTCAGGTTTGTGGTTTATTAACAGTGCACTGTCACTCAAGTTATTTCATTCTCCTGAGTACACTCTATAAAATGTGGATAACAACAATCTCCCAGGGCTGTTATATTTTAGATAATGTATGCATCTAGGTCCCTAGCAAAGTGCAATGAGCAATGCCTGTTAATTAGCGTTATGAGAACTAAAGGGGGAGATGACTCAGATGAACGGCGGGTTACTTCTGCCTTCAGTTCTCCCGTTTTGTTTTTGTTTTTTCTTTTCAGATTATTTTATAATTCGTTTGAAATCAAAAAGAGAGTTACAGTTAGAGAGAGAGAGAGAGAAAGAGAGAGAGAGAGAGAGAGAGCACTTTCATACATTGGCTCACTTCCCAAACAGCCACAAAATCAGGGCTGGCCCCAGCCAAAGCCAGGAGCCCAGAACTACATCCAGGTCTGCTAAGTGGGTGACAGGGGCCCAAGCACTTGGACCATCTTCCACTGCATTCCCAGGGAGCTGGAGTGGAAGTGGAGGAGCTGGGACTGGAACCTGAGTCTATGTGGGATACTGGCATTGCAGGAGGCATCTTCACACACACACACACACACACACACACACACACCACTTGATCTTAGTCAAAAGGCCGAGAAGCAATGCAGGAGGCATCTTAACCTTCTGCGTCATGAGGCCAGGCCCTCAGACCTCACTTTTAAGGGACAAGGTGATAGGGTGGTTGTAAACCTGACCAAGTGCTCTTGAGTCATGAATGCTGATGAGAGTCCCTTACCAGGATCTAGCTATTTCCTCCAGTAATCTCACAAGAATTAGAGTTGGGATGTCCAATAGTAGCTATAAGCCACATGTGGTTACTTACATTGAAATGTATTGAAATCAACACATTTCTTTCATTTCACTAGCCATGTTTCAAAATAGTCAATAGATACATGTGGCTAAAAGCTTCCATTTTGGGTGATATACCATACACACACAGACACACATATGTATATGCATCTCCATATATGTCTTGTATATGTGCATATCTCTGTGCACATGTGTGTCTTTTCTTTGTGACAGAAAGCTTCAGTGTTTGCACAGGCTTGACTACAGTGAATTAAGTGCTCAGAAGTCAGAGATGAGAAGCCAGGAGTGAGAGAAGCCAGGATAGGAAGATGTGGTTTTTGTTGATGGAAGCTCCACTCATTTAAAAAAAAATCAAAAAGTAAAGTAATGGCAATAAAAAGGTGAATTTAACATAATTAAGGCAGTAAACCTTAAGCTTTGATGTTCAAAGCCTGGACTTGAAGGTACTTTGGCCACATTTGAAACTCACTCTAGGAATGGTGCTTTGGTTTCTGATCCTATAAATGGTAACTATTACATGATGACTAATGGGGTGCTATTTACCTTAAGTAACTAACATGGGGACATTGGACACTATACAAAGTCAAACAGGAGTAATCATAGCAAACAGATTTCCCTAAACAGAGCTGAGGACTCATGAAAGGATAGAAACCAAAAGAACAATGACACCAAAAGTGAGGTTTTGTATCTTATGTGCAGCAAAGTCCTGAGAGAATGAGAGAGAAGATGTCCTACACTGAGTCTACCAATGCCATCTCACTAGTCCACGTGATCAATTTCAGTTCACAGTTGATCACACTGATAGGTCTAAGAGTCAAAGGGATCACACAAACAAGACTAGTGTCTGCTAATACTAACTGATAGAATCCAAAAGGGGGAGAACGATCCAACATGGGAAGCGGGATACACAGCAGACTCATAGAATGGCAGATATCCTAAACGGCACTCTGGCCTCAGAATCAGCCCTTAAGGCATTTGGATCTGGCTGAAGAGCCCATGAGAGTATTTTAGGCATGGAAAGCCAAGACACTCTTGGGAAAAAAAAGAAGACCTAAATGAAAGATCTCTGCGAGTGAGATCCCAGTGGAAAGAATGGGCCATCAAAGAAGGAGGTACCTTTCTCTGAAGAGAAGAGGGAACTTCCACTTTGACTAAGACCCTGTCTGAATAAGATTGAAGTCGGCGAAATCAAAAGGCTTCCATAGCCTTGGCAACTCATGACTAGAGCCTAGGGAGATTACTGATGCCATAAAGAAGAGTGTCAAATTGTTAAGTCAACAACAGGAGTCACTGTGTACTTACTTCTCATTTGGGATCTGTCCTTAGTGTGTTGTCCAATGTGAAGTAATGCTATAACTAGTACTGCAACAGTATTTTACACTTTGTGTTTCTGTGTGGGTGCAAACTGATGAAATCTTTACTTAATATATACTGAATCAATCTTCTGTATATAAAGATAATTGAAAATGAATCTTGATGTGAATGGAATGGGAGAGGGAGCGGGAGATGGGAGGGGTGCGAGTGGGAGGGAAGCTATAGGGGGGGAGCCATTGTAATCCATAAACTGTACTTAGGAAATTTATATTTACTAAATAAAAGTTAAAAATTGATTTATTATTATTTATTTTCATTTATTTGAAAGGGAAGAGGAAGAGGAGGAGCAGAAGGAAAACAAGGAAGAGGAGGAGGAGGAAAAGGGCAGAGAGGGAGAGAGAGACAGAGAGAGACAGAGAGAATGAATCTTCCCTTCACTGAGTCATTTCCCAAATGCCCACACAGCTGGAGCTGGGGCCAGGCCAAAGTCAGGAGCCAAGAACTAAAAAAACCTGGGTCTCCCATTGGGTGGCAGGGACTCAATTGCTTGAGCTGTTATTTGCTGTCACTTGCTGCCTCCCAGGTGCTCATTAGCATGACACTGAAATTGGAAATGGAGACAGAACTCAAACCTCAGTACCAGCTCGGAATGCCAGCATTCCAAGCAATGTCTCAACCCTCTCAGTCTCAACCATCTCAACTCTCGCACCAAATGCCAACCTCAGAATGCAGATCTTAAAAGGAGTGAGGCAACTGCCTATGTGTGCAGCCCATTGTATTTCAGAAAGGTTCCATCTGGGATTCCATTACCAATATCCAAACTGGAGTCTGTAATGGACCAATCTGCCTACTGCTTGCCACCATGCTAGTTTTATAGTGGCACGGGTCAATAAATCTATACACATATAATATAGTACAAAGAATATCGAGCCATAAATTTAGAATGACAAGGACTGAATTTTTCCAAAATCTTTACCAGACAGAGGTGTTCATGATAGACTTTCCAGCAGAGATGATAGGAGCTCATGTGACCTGAGGGAATGGATAGAAGGCTAAACTAATTGAATTGAGACCAGTTTATAGCATCATTAAATCTGAGAGATGCAGTGAAAGAGGATATAATCTGGTGGATTATATTATATTCGGATTAGAGAAGATGACACTCTCAAGCATGAGAGTTCTCTGACGTACCACAGATGGCCTCACTGACGACTCTGAAGGTGCAACCCCAAGAGTCCAGGGTGGTGGCGGTGGTGGCAGTGGTGATGAAATTATGTTCTTTACTACATGGAAACCTGAAGCTCCGAGCAAATGAAACACCGTATTTTTCACTCCTGCTATAATTAGCATGAATATATATTTCATAAGCTAATCCAGTTATAGGAAACTAAGAAGCCCAAAGATCTGAGCAGTGATCTCACCCAAGAGCTACAGAATACACATTCTTCTCATCAGCACATGGGAGAGACCATGTATTATGTCACAGATCAAGTCTCAGCGTAAAAGATGGAAATCATGCCATGTATCTTCTTAGACCACAAAAAGGATAAAACTAGAAATCAACAAGAAGAATGATAGAACACTCATAAATACTTGGAAATTAAACAACATGATACTGAATTATCAGTGGGCCATTGAAGAAATCAAG